CACCCCCAACAGTGGCTATTTTACAGATGACAAAATGAGAAGCCGACCTTTTTTCTCGATACTGATAAACACGGGGTCAAGACATGGAGGCATGTGTGACATGTGAGGATGACAGTCTACTAATCACTTTGAGAGGCTTAGAGGTAAAGAATCTGTAGTCTGGAACTATATTATAGCCAAAGCCCAGTTCCAACCTTCACCAGTTACTTGGAGAGGACCTCTAACCTTTTTGGTCCTCTTGTTTTTTCACTATACCACTGTTATCATTACAGCAGCTGCTTTATAAGGATGTCACTAAGGGTGAGGAAACACCCTGTAGAGTGCTTAAAACTAAGCTGAACAAATAGTAAACACTCTAAAAATTCCAGTTTGTTCTGGGTACCTGGGTCTATCTCACATTAACTGTCATGTACAAATCCTTTTGGCATAGTTGATGAGAAAAGCCCATTCTTTTATATAAGTATTGACCATATTAGAATATACAAATGCAAAAAAAGGGGATGACACTTAGGTCACAGAAGACAACAGAGCACCAAGACATTCCCTTCTTGTTTTTGATACCTGACATGGAACCCAGAGCCCTTCGTATGCTAAGTACACACTCTACCACTGAGTTCTACATGCAAGGATTGTTTTTTGGTTTTTGAAACAGGGTTTCCTGTGTCTCAGGCTGCTTCAAATTCCTGATTCTCACATCTTAGCCTACCAATTGCTTGGAGTATGGTCACGTACTACCACACAAACACACACACACAACTAAACACATGTAAAAACAAGGTTTCAGCACATGCCCCTGGGCTGTTTGAACATTCTGTGTATTTGAGTACATGCAGGTACATATGGATGTGTTAGTGCACATGCTTGCACATGCGCTGGAGGCCAGAAGTCAAGCCAGGGTGTCGTTTTCAGGAGCTGGTCACTTTGTCTACTTAGTTTATCATCTACCTTGTTTTATGAGGCAGAGATTTTTCACTGGGACCTGGGGCTTGCCAATTAGTCTAGACTGGCTGGCTGATGAGCCCCTGGGATCCCCCATTTCTGCTTCTCTACTGCTGAGACTGTAAGCCTTCGCTGCCATTCCCAGCCTTTTACGTGTGTGTTAGAGACCAAACTCAGATCCTCACTCTTCCATGTTACTGAGTTACCACCCCAGCAAGGCCTCAAGTCGTTGATCCTCTTGCTTCAGCCTCCCAAGTGCCACAATTTCAGGCATGCACCATCATACCCAGCTCGACACGTGTGTGTGTGTGTGTGTGTGTGTGTGTGTGTGTGTGTGAGAGAGAGAGAGAGAGAGAGAGAGAGAGAGAGAGAGAGACAGAGACAGAGACAGAGACAGAGAGAGAGAGAGAGAGACAGACAGACGGACGGATGGACAGACAGAGAAGGAGGGAGGGAGGGAAGGAGGAAGGAAGGGAAAGGGAGAGGGAGGTATGTCCAGGTGTTCATGTACATGCACGTCTGTTCACACACATGGAGGCCAGTGGTCAGGTATGTTCCTCAATCACTCTCCACATTGTTTTGTATGTAGCATAAATACATGATTGTGTATTCACCTGTGCATGGGTATGGAGGACAGGCTGATTTGGGGTGTCTCCCTTGATTACTCTCCACCTCATTTTTTGAGACAGGACGTCTCACCAAACCTAGACCTCAGCAATTAGCTAGACTGGCTGGCTGGCAAGCTCCAGTGATCCCTCTGATCTCTGCCTTCCCAGTACTAGGATTGCAGGTGTGCACCACTGCACCCAGCTTTTTACTTTTTATGTGGGTGCTTGGAATCCACACTCCAGTGGTTACATGGCAAGGACCTTACTGACGAAGCCATTTCCCCAGTCCAATACAAAGATTCCTTTTGTGTGTCAGCATCTGTGTATACAGAGCATGCTTGCCACACTGTGCATGTGGAGGCCAGAGGATAACTTCCAAGAGTCAGTTCTGTCCTTCCACCTCATGGGTCCCAGGGACTGATCTCTGGTTATCAGGCTTGGTGCTAAGGTCACCTCACCAGCCCAAAGATTCCTAATAGTGATAAGTCAATGGAGAAAACATAGAATGTGATCCATGTGTGTCTCTTTTAGGGTCCTCCTTGTTACCTAGCTTCTCTGGAGCTAAGGTTTGTAGCCTGGTTATCCTTTACTTTACATCTAATATCCACTTATGCATGAGTACATACCATGTTTGTCTTTCTGTGACTGGGTTACCTCACTCAGAATGATTTTTGTTACACACAACCACACACAGAAAAAAAAGAAACAACTACATAGCCTTACTTATATAAAATAGAGGCACATAGTACTATGCACATAACTGTAGTAGCTAAAAGGATGCCACCCTGAGTTTCTCAGTGTGAATAAATTAATACAGCATTGACTATAGCTAAATTACAGCATTTGTAATAACTAAACGCTGGATTCTGAATATGATTATAATTAACAATATTGTTCTTTGTATCAAAGCATTATTATAATTAACAACAAGGCCACAACACAATATAGTTACTAGCATGAATGACTCAGCAAAAAGAAAGGAAGGATGTGAGCACTCCTGAAGCTTGGATTATATAAAATCGTCTTCATGTATTAATGATAATGGGAATGACCTATGACCAGACCCAGTTCATAGCAGGCAAGTAACAACGTTAATCCAAAGAAACAGCATCATCACCACCACTACCGGTTCTTAGAATAGGCCCACTGCTCAGGGGGGAAAGGGCTTTTCCCCAAAGAAACACTAAACATGGCCAGCCACCATCCCATCCCACATACACACATACCAACCTCACCTGAGTACTTGCATCTCATTCTTGAAGGCCTGGGCCTGTTCAGCAGTAGGTTGCGCCACCTTGAGCACTTTCACAGCTACATCACCATGCCAACGCCCCCGAAACACAGTGCCAAAAGAGCCTGTCCCAATCCTCTTCAACAGCTGTACCTCACTGGGTGGCACCTCCCAGTAATAGCCTGAGTCCCGGTACCCCAGGTTCTTCTGTGGGCCAGATGGGTAGCATCAGAGGGGCCTATCCAAAACCCTCAGTCATGGCACTTAGCCTGTGGTGGCCCCCAAGGATTTTCTATGGCATACCACTTTTTTCTTTTCTTCTGCCAAGGACTTCCGCTCTCGCTGCTCTGACGGTGACTTGGAATGTGGGGACTTCCTCCCCGAGGACACACTAGCTGGGCTAGGGCTACCACGGGGTGCTCCATCACCACCTTTACCAGCAGCTGTGGTTGTACAGAATACTATGAGTGAATGCAAGTGGGGTGGTGGGGTAGAGAGAGCTCAGGGTGCAGGCAAGGGGTGGGGGGATTCTCTCACCATCGGTGCTGAAGCTCTGAGCAGTGAACTGGAAGGGGGTGGGAGCAGTAGTTAAAGTGAGCATGTAACAACAGAAACGGCTCAGAGCAATGCTCTGTTGCTCCCCACCATTGCCTCCTTGGCACCCACCTGCATGAGGCTGGAGTCCATGGGCGCTGTGGTGCTGACCATGTGGACGTTAGGAGTAGATGTAGAGCGGATGCGCTGCAGTGGGGGATTGGCAGGGGCAGGGAAGGAGAAGTGCTCCAGGTCACGGGGCTGGGTGCGGGGGCTGATAGAGAAAAGGCTATGAAATCGATGCAAAAGGAAGCAGAAAGCAAAGAAAGCCCAACCCTGCCACCCTGAATGTACATTTAACTCATACATAGTACATGTCTACTGGTCACACCAGTAACCATCTGTTCAAGAAACATTTACTAAGTGCCTCGTGTAAACCAGATTCCACTCTCAACTCAAGATCAAACTGTGGATACCATAAATTAGAAGCTCTTGTCCTTGTAGGGTTATTCTAGTAGAGGTATATATATATATATATGGATATATGTATATATCCATATATATATATATCCTGCTACTGAGAGACACAAAAAGGAGAAAAATAAAATGAAGTAAGGTAGAAAGTGTCCCTGGGATAGTCAGGAGTAGGCTCTCAGAAAGGGTGACATTGGGGAAAAGGTCTAAAGGAGGGACAATGAAGGCCAAAGATAGTTGAAGAAAGGGTAAGATATGATTTTTTTATTACATATCATCATAATGACATGTATTTTTCAAATGTTATTTATTTTGTAATAATATATATTACCTATATTAAAATGGCAATGTTTTAAATATACATATTATCATATTATGTAATACATATTACACATATAATATAAAGATTACACATATATCATGTTACAAAAACTTTTTTTGCTGTTTTGAGACAGTCTCATGTAGTTCAGGCTTGAACTTGCTGATTAGTGGAGGGTGGCCTTGAACTATTGATCCTCTTGCCTCTACATCCCATGAATTAGCACACCTTACACAAAACATTTTTCTGTTCCTTTCACCATCCTGAGACTAAATTTATGGGTAATCAACACACATACACTCATAACTACAAATAAAAAAAATACATTAACCTGACCTTTTATATATTATATAAAAGTATATGGTATCCTCCCCTTTCTAATAAAACTTCCCACTCAAAAAAAAGTACTTTTCTGATACACTAATATGTATTTCAAAGAGAACAGACTTGAGTGTGGTTATACTGGAAGAATCAAACAAACTAGTTAGATGTTTGTATATTTGTAATTAACAATAAGAATTATTTACTCTGTATCAGATCCCACACTAATCATTGCACATATCTCAACTCTTAATCATTTTCACAACCCACTGTGGTGAAGTACCATCCCCTCTTTCCAGATGAAAGAGCCAGTGTGACAAGGTGCCTTACAGTTCCATGACCTTCCACAGACTTGTATATGCTCAATAAGCATTTATGAAGTAGACGAATGGATAAAAATATGACCTACCAGGGTCCTCTGACCCTTTCCTCACTGACCCCCAGCCTTTTACCTAAGGCATCCCTACCTGGGACCCTGGGGGGTTAGCAGCTCATTCACAGGGAGATTTGAGGGAACCTCTTGCTGCCTGGAGCCTCCAGACAAATCCTGAATGCTGTGGTAGAACCTTGAGGACATAAAGGTGTAAAACAAGAAGGCTGTGAGTGTAGGTCAGCTGTCTGTCAGCCCTTGTACCTGGGCTTCTGTCCTCCCCATCCCTTAAGCCACCCCAGGCTAGGCTCACTGTTGGCGGTTGGTACTCATGTCAACGCAGACTGTGGGGACCTTGGAGGAACAATGCTGGTGGAACTTGTAGCCACAGGTTTGGCAGCGGAAGCCATGGAACAGAAACTTAAGGCAGAAGTCACAGAAGGCCAGGCTGAAGAATGTCTTCCGTACCTGCAGTCACAAAGCAGGGAAAACCCAGGCCTGGTTGAGGGCCCTCTCTGTCAACACCATGGCCTCCCCCACCACCCTGTCGCACTTACAAAATTGTGCATGGTCAGTGGCACATCTTCTAGGACCTCCACAATGAGCTCTTCACCATCCAGGGGTGCAATGGCTGTGTCCCAGGCAGTGACTGTTTTCCTTCTGAAAGGAGTATGGGAGAGAACAAATAGGATGGTGGACTAGGGCTATGGTAGACAAGGAAGTTCCAAAAGTTCCTCTCAGCCCCATCCATGAACTACTCTCTGGAATGTTTACTTTTCACTCAGCTGGTCACTATTAGGCTGGAGAGATGGCTCAGCAGTAAGAGTACTTGCTGCTCTTGCAGAGGACCTGGGTTTAGTTCTAGACATTCACATGCTGGCTCACAATCTCCAGTTCTGGGGGATCTAGAACCTTCTGGCCTCCATAAGCATCAGGAACACACAGTACACACACACACACACACACACACACACACACACACACACACACACACACAGAGTCAAAACACTCACACACAAAAAAGAAGGTAAAATTTCCCAAGAAAAAAGCCACTATTCTCACTCCCATTTTATAGATGAGGAAACAGGCTCAAGAGATGAAGTGATTTGCCTAATTGCTAGGATCACAGGTATGCCCACCATTCCCAGATTCAATCCATGATCTTTAACCATGAGATAAGAGGCAAATGAGATGAAATGTCAGAAGTATTAAGCCAGCACCTGAGAATGGGGCTGATAAGACATTGAAAGAATAGATAAAATGTAAAACATGAACTACATCCAAAAAGTTAAGGAACCAAAGAACACAGGAATAAAAGAATACCATTGAAGACCAATTCTACAGTCCATGAGGGAAATGAGAAAAGAAAGAGCTGATGAGTTCAGGAAATTGTGACAGAACAAAATAGATGAACTCTGGAAGGTGACGGAATGAGGACCTGAAGGCTGAGTAGATAATGAGTTGCAGACCTTCCAGGTCCATGAATGAAGTGAAACAAAAGATGTTACCTGGGTTACCTCAACTAGTGGAAGACTCCAAGACAGAAAAGAAGGACTAAGATGACACTGATGAACAGAGGTTTTTGGGTACCCAATGGATGGCACAGGGTTTCCATACTTACCCTTTGATGAGTCTGTAGACCACGCAGCAATCCTGATTGAGACCCCGAACCTTGAGGGCCTTGTCCAATGAATCATAGACACTCATGCCATCCCGGACAGTCACCTATGTGTGGATGTGTACACAGGTTGGGGTCTTGAGTACCTAATAAATGCCCTAGCCAATTATCCCATCCCTCTGCAGTAGCCATTCCCTGGCCCCTTGTCACCCTTCTTATCCCAGACTTACAATTGGGACCATCTGGAACACATGCCAGTTTTGTCTCAGTGACTCACCACTGTGCGTTGCTTGTTAGGCAGGTACACTTTGACAGTGCCAACTGCCCGAGATGGCTCAGCCCCACTAGCAGGAGGGCCTCGTGGTGGTTCCATGGAACCTGCTTTTGTCAAGATGGGCTGAGGTAGGACTGAACGGGTGCCATAGGGCTCCTAGGAGAGGGCAGAGGAAAAATTCCGAGGTCTAGTAATAATAGTTTGAAAGCAGAATGGCAGAGGACAAATAAAATTCCATCTCCAAGCTCCCATTGCTCCCTGCAGCCCAAATTTCATGAAATAGCCCTGATAATGCTAACACCTGGTGCTTACCCTTCTCTGCTCAGAATCTCCTATTGCTTATCTCACAGTTGAGTGCCAAGATCTCAAAATCACCTCAGTGAGGAAGCACAGTACACAAAATTCTTCTGGAGACTAATGGGGATGTCAGTATGTACTGTACTGGAGAACAAAGGCTCAAACACATAATGGGAATGAACAGGCTGCCCTGGCTTTTAATGGAGAATGAAGAGATCAGATAGTATAGTAAAAGGAGTTACAGACAGGGAACGGAAAAATGGACGATCGTCGTATCTTTATGTCGTATCTTTCCTCCATTTGGAGGAAATGGAGACTGTGCCATGATGTTAAAAGGCACTGTGAGAGCATCCCAGAGCCCTGAGCTGCAAGGCTGAGGGTAGAATTAAAGGCACTGTCAGATAGCCAATAGAGGTCACCAGACTGTGATGAATTCACAAAGTGGGTCACCAAGCACTATGCTGAAGAGAAATATAATAGGAGTCATTAGGGACTATGAAAGGCAGATGGATAATAGACTGAATTACACATTTAAGCCAAATGCAAATGGCAATAACTGCCCACCAGAAAACACTGCTAAAAGGAAAGGAAAAAGAACACAATGATATCCAGGTGAGGAAAATAGAGGTAAGGTTGGGGAAAAGGTCTCCAAAAATTCTCCCAGATAACTACTGAAGGGTCACAAATACATTACTGATGTAAACGCACTGGGGAATCTTGGAAGGAGGCTGAGGTGAATTAGGGGTAATGGGGCGGTCCTCAAACATTTTCCTAAGAGGGGTAGAATTTTTAGGATAACAAGGAATCATGGGAGAGAGCTGCATCTCCTGGATTTGGTGAGGAAATGTCAGCCACTTGGAGGGGTTTGAGTTCATCTTAGAATCTCGCACCCAAGCCCCAGACCCCAGACCCCATTTGGCCCGGTCCCGCCCTCCCGAAGGGCTTTAGGTTCTGCGCAGGCGCACTGCCACTCGCAGCGGGCGCAACCACAGCAGGCTGTCCGCGGACTCTATCCACTCCCGCGGTAGATGATGGTCTCGCCCCGGGTCAAACCACTCCTTTGGTTCCGGGCGGGGGGTGTTGAGATTCAGACAGAAACATCTTGGAGCTTAGCTTTCGGTCCGACTTCCTGCCCGGGTCCGGCGGCAGCTCCAAAACCCAAACCCTACCGGGCCTGCCCTCACCTGTCACACCGCTACCACCACCACCGCCTCCATCTTGGGCCTGTCTTCTTGTTTCCTCTTAACAGTCCGCCGCCACCGTCCCTCGGCTTCTTGTTATTGGCTCTCCAGGACTCAGCCCTCCGTTCTTATTGGAGGAAGATCACGCCCGTCAACACAGGACCAGCGGAATGTGGGTCGTGTTCCGGATTAGGAGGGGTGGCCCCAAATGGTAGTCTCTAGGGCAAATTCGCCTGTCCTGATTGGCGCTCAGGCACAGTCTGGACGACAACTGCGTGTTAAGGACTTTAACCCTAACACTGCTGCAGAATAAAAAAAGCTTGTCCTTTTTTTGGTGTGAGTGTCGGGAGGACGACTCGATTTTAATTGTGTATTTTCTGGCCATTTGGGGCTGATTTTAGGGGCTTAAGAATAAGGGCGAGAGAAAACCCTTAAATGCAATTTGGAGCCAGTGCTGTAAGCACATTTTAAAGGACGTTCGTATGTCTTAGTTTGACTATCCTTAAAATGGGGTGCAATCGGACTAAATGATGTCCAGTATTTACCAGCTTTAGGAGACTGTAGCCATAATTCTTGATAAGTAGAAGAACCGTGCTGGTGGTCTGGCTGGAGGGAGGGAGGCTTCCTTTAGGAAAATGGTTGAGGAGGAATTTGAAAGACAGGCCACAGGTGGCTAGGTGAAGAGGGGAGTGTGGATCTGGAATGCAACACTGTGGCAGCCATTTGTGGACATATTTTAGGATGAACATAGTTTTTAAATTGAACTTTCCCTGACATCAAAATAAGAATAAGAGGCACACACACACACACACACACACACACACACACACACACACGCACGTGTTCTTTTTCTTGGAACATTTCCTTTAGAAAACATATTTTCTCTGGCCATTTGAAGCTCACCAATAGAATGAACCACAAAGCCCCAAGTTAAATCCCCAGCACCCTTTAAAAAAGATTAGGTTGGTGTCTTGACAGTTTTACAACCACAGAAAATTTTCCTTAGGGGCCTTGAAACTACCTTTTTCGAATATAACAACACCCCATCTCCCTGACTGGTGGGAACTTCCTCTGTGTGTCCAGCTTAAAGTTGTTACTTGTTTGTCAGAAGTTATGAGTCTTGGTTTTCCTTTGGATAAAGTAACAGATGGCCACCCTGACTACTAGATGAATTTAGAAGGAACCCTGTATCCCAAATGGTGCTGTCACGTTTTCTTATTTCAAAACAAGTTAGCGGTTATTTTGAGAACTTGTATGTAATGGGTTGAGTCTGTTGGTTCTATAAAAGGATAAGATTTCTTTCTTTAAATTCTCTGGAAAAACATGACAAGAAATAATTTGAAAATTAAAAATCAGTCATGTAGCTCAGCAACATCATTTCTAAGTATTTACACTAGAGAAATGAAAACATATATCCAAATGATATGCTGGTAAATGGTAACAATCAGCTTTCCAGGAAGAAAACAGCTGCAATTTGTAGCATTTGCCAGTTGTGGTACAAAGATTCCTACAGTAGCTATTTCAAACTATCAATATGACATCACTGAACCAGAGTTACTACAGGCCCAAAATTGGCTGTGGTGACCCAACCACAGCATGCCTCATATCCATACTAAAAGTTGTATGTAAATGTTCAGATTATCTTTATTTATATTAACAAAAATCAAAACAAAGCAAAAAAAACACCCTAGAAACAGCCAAGGTACCCAACAAAAGAATTCACCAAGAACTATGACAATGATCACATTAATAGAATGACACTCAGAAATCACAAAGAACTAGACAACAAATGAATCCTCTGGACTTATGGTTAAGGGAAAGAAGCCAGATACAAAATAGAATCTCACAAAAGAGTATTCCATGGAATTCTAAGCCAGGAAAAACTAGTCTACAGTGAAAGAAGTCAAGCTAGTTGTCATCTTGGGGAAGAGTAGAGAGACTGTTACTATGGTGTGGAGGTGGTCTGTCCTTGTCAAAATTCCTAGTGGAATTTGGTTGCCAATGCAGGAATGCTGATAGGTGAGACCTTTCAGGGGTATTGATGTCTTTATTTCAAGTCTAGCTTAGTTCTTGCTCTTGAAAAAACGTGTTCTTGGGTGCTAGGGAGATGACTCAAGTTGGTAAAGTGAGTGCTTCACAAGTACAAGTGAAGTACTGAGGTACTTCCCAAATAAAAGTAAATGGATCATGGTGATCTGTGTTTGTAATCCGTTAGAGGAGGAGACACCAAAATCCCTGGGACTAGCTGCCAGCAAGTCTAGCAGAACTAGTGAGCTCCAGGCCAATAAAAAAAGGCTCTGTCTCAACAAACAAGGTAAAGTCTAGCAAAGATGGTTCAGTGGTTAAAGGTGCTTGTGTTGGTGCACACCTTTAATCCCAGCACTTGGGAAGCAAAGGCCGGGCATATCTCTGTGAATTTGTGGTCAACTTGGTCCACAAAATGAGTTCTGAGACAGCCAATACTGTTTTTACTCAGAGAAACCCAGTCTCAAAAAACCAAAACAAAATGGTGCTTGTATTACAAACCAGGTAACCTGAGTTTGATCCCTGAAACCTACAAAAAGGTAGAAGGAAAAACCGACTCCACAAAGGTGTCTTCTGACCTCTACATATATGCCATAGCACATGTGCACCACTCCCCATCAGGGGCACACAAAATAGTAATAAAGTGGGTGGCACCTGGGGAAGGGTACCAGTTGTCAACCTCCTTATTTCATATACATGCAAACATACATACAGCTGGACACTCATGAACTCAACATAAAAGGTAAGGCTGGGTGCTTGTATACATGTGGATATCTGCCTATGTTCATGCAGGTTCATGTGCTTGTATGTGTGGGAGCCAGAGACTGGCCTGGAGGGGTCTCTCTCAATCCATCGCCACTTTACTTTTTGGACAGGGTCTCTCATTGAACCCGGAGGTCACCTTTTTTGTTAGACTGGCTGGCCAGTGAGCTCCAGGGTTCTGCCTATTTCCACCTTCTCAGCACTGGCATCACAGAGGTGCACCTGCCTTTTACCCTCAGGTCCTCATGACTGTATGGTGAGTGTTGTTTTCCCCCCATTTCCCCAGGCCCCAGAATAAAAGTGTCTGACCCTCTTTGTCCTATCTTCTATCTTCTTTTAAAAAGATTTTATTTCTTTTATGCCTCCCCCCCACTGTGTGTGTGTGTGTGTGTGTGTGTGTGTGTGCGTGTGTGTGTGTTTAACACATGTGTAGGTACAGGTGCTGGGAAGCAATTTTTTGTTTGTTTTTGTTTTTGTTTTGTTTTTTCGAGACAGGGTTTCTCTGGCTTTGGAGGCTGTCCTGGAACTAGCTCTTGTAGAGCAGGCTGTTCTCAAACTCACAGAGATCCACCTGCCTCTGCCTCCTGAGTGCTGGGATTCAAGGTGTGGGACACCACCACCACTGGCTGCAGCCAGAGCTCTTAACTGCTGAGCTATCTCTCCAGCCCTCCCACCCCCCACCCCTGCTGTTCTCTGTAGTCTCCATTTTCCTTCTAACTTCCCCTGTGAGGCCCTTTTCAGGAGCCAAGGAGATTCAGGTACAATTCTCTTGGACTTTCTAGCCTTCAGAAACATAAGCCCAAATTAACCTCTTTTTAGACAAACATAAAGGGATTTTTGGAGACAATTGGAATGTTCTGTATGGATTTCTTCAAAACTTATTAAACATTATCCTGAAAATAGATATATATTTTTGTAACATGAAAAATAAAAGACCCAGAGACAGCTACTGGGGTTCAAGCTTCAAGCTGAAGATCAGAAAAGCAAAGCAGCCAAGCCTGTAGATTTTCTCTCTATCGAGCTGAAATGGCAAACCTGTCATTTCAGAGGCACAAAGCTCTGAATTCCTATCTCTTTCTCCTTTTATTCCTTTCTCTGCCCAGCCATAACACTCCTGTCTCCACCTCCCTAGTGCTGGGATTAAAGGCCTGTGATCCCAGGTGCTGGGATCAAAGGCTTGGAGCTCTGATACCCTTTATCTTTGTGTAGGCCAGGGTGGCCTTGAACTCAGAGAGATCCATCTGCCTGTCTCTTGAGTCCTGGGATTAAAGGTGTGTGCCACCACTGCATTGTTTCTATAGCTAACTAGTGTGGCTGGGTTTGCATCCTGATCCTTCAGGCAGTCTTTAGTAAATCATAAATAATATATCACCACATGTATTAATTTATGTAAAATATACACCAATTAAAATGGATATAGGGCTAGAGTAACAGGGTATTTGTCATATTGCAAGGCTTGAGGCTCAATTCCCAGTGCCACCAAAATGTGCATGGCAAAAAAAATGGTTCCAGACATAATCCTAAACATAGTAATTTCTTAGAAATGACTATGGATTGAATTTTTTAAGTTTTCTTTTCTGAAATTGAATTTCTAGACCCTCAAACTCCCATCTCCCAGCGCAGGTCTACTGCGCTGTTGTGTCACAAGCAACTGCTGCTGGAACTCAGTGGCAGGCTCCAAAATGCTTTGGAAGAGGGAAGAGAGGTTGTGTTTTAAACTTTGAATTCTCCTAGATATGATTTAATTTGTTTTAAAACATTTTTAAGATTTTAGTTTTATTTCTAATCATGCGGTTGTGCATGTGGACGCCCACGGAGCACTGAAGGGCTTGGACTCTGTGGAGGACTAGGGATGGAACTTCGGTTCTCTGTAAGAATCACACTTTCTTTTAACCTCTGGGCATCTCTCCAGAGTCAGCTGGGCTGGTTTCCTTCCTTCCTTCCTTCCTTCCTTCCTTCCGTCCTTCCTTTCTTCCTTCCTTCCTTTCTTCCTTCCTTCCTCCCTTCTTCCCTCCCTCCTTTCCTACCTTCCTTTGGAGACAGGGTTTCACTGTGTAGTTTAGACTGGCCCAGAACTCCCTATGTTATCTTAATCTGACCTTGAAGTCATAATCCTCCTGCATCACTCTCCTAGATTCTGGGATTATAGGAGAGTGGCTCCATGATTGACTCAAAACATTGGTTTCTAGGCAGTATTTGAAGGCAAACTTATGGCCCTGTTCCCCAACATTTACAAAAGGACAGGGGAGGATGAGGAAGGAGGATTGAGTGTTTAAAGCAAACCAAGATCATGACGGGAGACCTGCTTTTAGAACAAGTAGGCACCTGCAATCAGATTGAGGTCTACCATAATTGTCAAACCATCCAGCAATT